TCCGATACTACTGTTGCAGTGGTTCTACTACAGTACTCATGACTTCAACCCTGTTACATCTTAACTAAGAAAACAGTATAATTATCTTGACGCCGTGAAAGCTACAGCGTCATATCAAAGCTTTGGCGACTAACGGTACTGACAAGACGAAATGTAGAAATGGGTCAGAAAAATACAGAAATTATTATGTGGCAACACTACCCGCAGTCACCTCCCTACAGCTTACCCCCCCCCCCCTTCCTACTAACCATCTTTCTTTTAAAAAAAATTATTCCACTTTGAAGATTACGTATCGTTAACTAAGCCAAATCATCCCTACAAAAGGATCCCATATGATAAGCTTGTAATGGTTTGGTTGAATCTGTCATTGTATACACTGTCTTCTATAAGCTGAACCAACATCTACATACATAAACAATTTACCGATTATCTACCTGTATACCTTACTATCTTCTTGTGGGTATATCTATATGTATCTATATCTTTGTGTGTATCTATCTCTATCCCCAACACTTCCTGTCTGCTTCGCTCAGCCAGCCAGACGGGTCAACAAGGAGGATGACTGGAACTCTGTCTGAGAACGGCAGCAGCACTATTTAAACTGCCGCCGGGGACTTATAAAAACTGTCTCAAGAGTATTCCCATTCAAGGTTCTACTCCTGTTGCACGGGTACTAAGCTGTGGTAAGGCATGCTGTTTTATATCGTTACTAAGCTTTTTGTAAGTGGTGCCAAGTCGTTTTTACACTTACTAAGCTGTGGTAAGGCGTGCGGTTCTATTTATCAACTAAGCTGTGGTAGTAATATTTCGGTGATACCTTCGCAATTTTGATAACACACTCTGAAGGTATTTTTTTGTCATTTAAATACAAAAAAAAAATGCAAAAACTTTTAAAGCACAGATCTCTCGGTGGATATTCGTGTTATACATTGGTAGAAATCAATCGCCACTTGGGTTAAAATATCAGTGTATTAGGGTTACGCTGGTTATTAGGTTAATGCACGTGGATTAGGCTATTTGGGTTACATCTCTTCGGTTTGCTAATTTCTGTGGATTTGACAAGATTAGGTTAGTTTATCTAGATTAAGTTTAGCAATCAGAGACGTTAAACTAGATTATTTGTTCGATTAGGTTAAGTTTAGGCTATGTTACCGGATTAGATTAAGTCGCTTGGATTATATTAAGATTTTAACTCGTCGATTAAACCAAAGTAAACTATCTCAAATTTAGCTGAATAAATTACAAACTTAAATAACTTCAGGCATATAAAGCTTCATCTTAAAATCACCGACTGAACTTAAAACCACAAACATCCGGAAATATTCAGTTTGGGCATAGGTGTGGTACGCTAGCCTAAGCAATTATTCCAACGAGACCGCCACAGAATTTCTGACGAGGAAGATTTTGGCTGCGCCATCACATACATACCAGGGCTGGGCGGCATCCGGGTGTGATGAGGATAGTGTGTGTTCGTGTAATGTATTATAACTTGTCAAGAGGAAAGGTCGAAGGTGGAATTGTACTGGGACGTGTGTGTGTGTATGTGTGTGTAGATTTGTACACAGGCATGGCAACAACACGATCATCAGGTTGGTCTTCCCAGAACTATCGTCTCGTCTCGTCCCTCTATCCACGTCTCCCTCTCTTCCTACTCTTCTTGCATCTCATTCTTCTACCTCTTCTTGACGACCTCCTCTTAAAGTTATTAAGGTCATCTGGACACGTTAAGGTTATGCGACTTGCATTAGGTTGTTTAGGTATGGTTATCACATACAGATTTGATGAATTCTACAACTGGTGCTTCTCCTTCACCCTTTCTTTCTACACTCGCTTTATTCTCCTCTTCTCTCATCTTGTCTTCATCCATCTTAATAATGACTTACAACTTCGTGCGCGGATAACATCACCTCATTCCTAGTTCTCAGAAATGCGTGCATCCCCACCCCCTCCCTCCGACCTTCACACACGGCCCAATTGCGTGATGTCTCCTCTTGCCCCCTCACACACGACCCTATAGCGTGTAGTGCCCCCCCCTCAGCCCCTCACACACAACCCCCAGCGTGTATCTACCACACTGTTATAAAGTGTTGAAGGCAATTTACCACTTATTTCCCACTCAAGTAAACATCTGTACTTGCACGCGCTGGTAAGATGTCACGCGTATCTAAGTAATTTTTGTATTGCATTTGTTAGCTCGGGGATACAGCGCCCAAGGAGGGTTACTACCCCTTAAAATTTGCCTGAAGGTGGAGCAAGTGCCCTTCCTTGATGCCGAAAACCCCAGGTAAAAATAAGGCTGGTCACACCGAGCGCCCAAGATAAACGGCAAAAATTAGTTAAAACCTTTAACCATTTTCTTGCCACAGAGGGTCTGTGTCAAAGAGTGCTGCCTCCATGTTTTATTACACCAAGTAAGTAGGTAGATGATCCACTTGAATTATATTGTCACAAAACACCGCCTTAGATATTACAAGGATACCTAAAGTTGGTCACGTCACTACACACTACCTCGCCCGGTCTGGTTCATCGAGTTAGCCCTAGTGCCCGCCCTTCCCGACTGACCGGTAGCGTCCAGCAACATGTGGGATTTTTTTTTCTAATTATATACGTGGTCTGGTGTTCTAATTACCCGCACTAACGCAGCCATAAACCACGACTTGGTCACCTCTTTTATAATGCTTAAATACCCGCACTAACGCAGCCATAAACCACGACTTGGTCACCTCTTTTATAATGCTTAAAATGTTGAATGTTTTCATGTTTCTCTGTAACTGCTGTCTGGTATTACAAAGGCACCGAAGAGATGAGAACTACTAACACTTCAAGCACACCACTTTAGTGTCTAGCACAGTAGGTATGAAAAACTAACTTTCCAAATAATTGATCAAAATTTATGACCTTGACCTTTGACTTGTTCTGGAAATGATAAGATTTCCTGGAGAGTTTCATCAAAATATCAATAACTATGCAAGAGTTATGCTTCGGGCACCCAGACAGAGACTCAAGAGGACACCCACACAATACATCCTTTCTTCTTCTCAGGGATGAATAAAAACCAGTACAATATCACGTTAATAACTGACAAAGCTGCACAAACTTGCTTCCAATGAACACAAACAAGCCGCAACTGTGAGCAGATCGAGTTTCAAAATCTTCCCTGTTAGTCTCCCTGAGCCCGATGTCAACGGGGCCACTTCAGGGATCCAACTTAACATGACAAAGTTTTTCTGTGTGTGTGTGTGTTCGCTCAGAGGTCATCTTACATGTTGGGTTAGTGATTTTAGGCCCCAACCCACATACAGTACAATACTACGAGAATCCCCAATTGGAAACCACCTGTTGACCTAGTCCCTCGTCCTGCTCGACACTATAATAACAGCAACAGATAATATCCATACTTTCTTTAAGGTCTTGTTCCTTTAATCTTCCACTCCCAGAAATAATGAAAAAAGGCAAAACAAGAATCATCGATGGAATAATCGATCCCCTCGAGACACAAAAATTGTTAAAATTCGTCAGTTGTGTATAGAGAACTTAATGAATTTTGGTTCCAATAAGCCGATTGATATGGAAACAAATGTCAACAGACCTACGAATAATCTTACCCCTATGAAACCCTTGAGAAGGGATTAATAAAGTAAATTTTATAAAATCTTTGTCAAAACGATAAATACTTTGAATTATTATCCAGTATCCCCCCGTGTGTACACGCATCACCCTACGCTGCCCTATGTAGTCTTAATAAACCATGTACAACTCAAACTCTTTAGCCCATTAATTTTCATACAATGTCTCTTTGGTCCATCCCGCAGCCACCTCTCCTTTATAATCTTGGCAATGAACTAATTAACATGTATACGTGACGCCGCCCAAGCCTAGCCATCTTGTACTCTCCTTAATACGTCTTGTGTTTACCCTTTCGTCGAGACATCCACAGTAAAGGGTTCTTGAATTAAACGCCACAACCTCTTACACAGACCTTGATTTCTTCTGACATTCATTTCACGCGTTAGTTGAATAGCCAAGTTTTACATTTAGAGTAGCGTTTTCACCTTAAGATTAACCACTAACACTAACCTAACTCAATCCCCCCAGAAGGTGTTGAACCATCAGATGAACTAAGCTGGGGTGGGTGGCTGGGGGGCTAATCTCTTGGTGATCACTTCGTTCTTTTTAAAAGAAAAAATATATATACGCTGACAAAACCGGTTTACTTTGCAAATAAACAAACGTGTCGGCAAGGAGCGGCTTGGTCGGGCGGATCGCTGTTGCCCAGTAAGAGGCTCGCGGGTTAAAACAGGAACCATTTATGCGGTTGGTTGGTAGCTGCTCTCCTGCCTTGCCAAAAACAACCACGTTCTCCCTCGTTGATATATTCACCATCAAACTGACCCAAAATAGCCTAATCGAACTCCTAAACTAACCTAAAACAGCCTTATCTAATTCAAACTAACCCAAAATAACTTGATCTAACCCCAATAATAATATTCTAGCTCGAACTAAAACAAAATTGCTTAATCGCAGATATAGGAAAACCAGTGAAAGAATAGGCCAGGTTATGTAGTACTGTATACAATAGCGCTAAATGTTGCCAATTGGGTCATTAGATCAGCCACTTTATTTACGTATGCAGAAAAATGAAAAGGATACCAACACCCTATGATAAGGAAACGCCTCCCTATCTAAACAGGAAACTTACGTATTCTAAGTTAAAATGCGATATTTTTTGCTTACAATATTCACGCTTTGTGTTCAAATACCGTGCATCAAACTGTGTGCAAAATGTGAACTGTAAATTGATAATGGTAAATATTAAGCACCAATAAACTAGCAATATTTCACATAATGTCTTATATTTGTTAGTTTAAAGCAATTTTTTACGAAGTGGGTATTTGCACTGACAAACTGATCCCTTGATGACGAGGTTCGGGTGCAGATCCCTTTAACTTTTAAAATTACATATTATAAAAGAAAACACTTAACTTGGACAAGCAACTCACCGACACTCTCACCGTAGACAGGTGTGACGGGCTTGGGACGGTCTACAGGTTCAGACTTTGAAGGTAGGTTGTTGGGCTTCTTTGGGATGAGCCAGGCAAAACATCCCGATTCCTTGCAGGAAGAGCAAGCGTTGCCCATTGTGGCTCTCTCTCTTTGGACGTCTTAAAGTGGGAACTATGATATCACAGATCTTCGTTGTGTATGGGAGGATCCTGGTGGGTCAGCTGCGATAATAGCCCGCCAAATCTTGCAGAAATGTTAACAAATTCGATCCGCTCACACTTCCCTAAATATATGTATATATCATATAGGCGTATTCTATGCTATTATAATTTATAATGCCTTCCCTCAACACAGCTCTCTTCTGCTCCAGACGAAACTCTCATTTAGTACCAGTTTGGTAATGTTCATTTATCACTGAACTGGGCGAACTTTACCGCGTCAAGCCTCACAGCACCGGTGCTTGGGAAGGATATCTGACACATAGGCTCGTGAGGGTTGCCAACTGGTGAATGCGCATGGAGTGTTGAGAACAGGTCGGGGTATCCGCGCTGAGACTGCCCACAAGTACGAGTTGCCGTAACTCCATTATTTTCTAAACAATTTTGAGGAATTTACACGTATGCAATTTATGTTTCCTTGTATTAATATTTTGAGGTGCTTGTTCAGAGATCGACACCAATTAATATTTATATTCAGATTGAAAATATACGTATATTACATAATATTATTAAATGGGCAACGCCTAGCTTGGCCCGTAAAGTGGACTTCGGCCACTCAAATTCCCGTCGTGTGAATGGAATTCCTCCTACGGTATAGTATGAGCTGTATATTATGTTATGACGCATATATATAATCAATTATTCATAAATTCTGGCGACTCGGAGATTCGTTGGTTAATCTTTTATTGGTAACGAGAACTTTGAGGACACTTGCAGGTGCTGTAAGATTTTTATGACGTAGCTCAAGTGAGAGAGTTAAAAGGCAGTTCTTGTTTTTTCACTGTAGAGGAATATTTATCGTACGAACGTCTGAGAATGAAAATCAGTCGTGATGGCCTCCCTGACGTCAGATTTAAAGGTAAAAGTAGTGAAGTGAAATTTTTATTGCCTCGTGCATGTGTGTGTGTGTGTATGTATGTGTGTCAACAAAACCTTGATTCTCTCCCTCGCACGAGACATATATTTCCAGACATTCATTCGTGTTTTGAGCACATTGTGAGTGAATTAAGTTAATAAGGACTTAATCGCCCACTTGTCCACTCATATCCTTTTACTTCTCAACCTTAAACTGAAACAGGGGTCAAAATCTTTACGTTGTCAGTGGCCAACTCGCCCTTAACAGGTGAGATTTTGAACCATTGTTGCATCTCTTAGTTGCATCCTTGTTTCTGATCCACCTACACAGTGTGTGTGTGTGTGTGTGTGTTAAAATAAACACCCCCATCAACGTTTAATTCTTATAAATGTGCCACATATGAATGCCACTTCGATTTGTATATAAAAATTGATTCTATGATGTATTATTGCGCTTCAACAACAATTAAAAGGTACACACTCCCTTTGAATAATTTGTAACTAAATGCAATAGTGTTCACACCACAGTTAAAAAAAGTAAACTAGACGTCTGTAATGTATCTATGGTCTTGAAAATTAATATCGTGCCAAATTGGATATAGTGAACTTAATCGTAAGGAAATTCAACTACTATTCACACACACACACGCACACACACAGAGGTGACTCATCATGCTATTTTCTGACAAGGTACTGCCATCATCAACATTGTACAGTTAATGTTTCAGATAGAATGTGTTGGTGTGTTTTTGTGGGCAGATAAGACTAGACTTATCAGAGTAAACTGATGATGCTTTGTGTTGTAAATGATTCACTGCAGTTTCTCTTTTTTTATGTTTGTTCTCTCGGTAAGTAATACAGGTAAACTTAACATTAGTGATATACAGACAATTATCATATAAAATATTATAAAAAGTATATTTTCTTAAAGAAATGTTGGCACTTAAATTACGATGTCCAAAGTTTCAGCGAATTTGCTGTCGAGAATCAGAAATAAAATAATAGTTTCGTATTTAAATTCAATTTCTATCTACAAAAAGGCTAAGGCATCACCTTTACAGTACTGTCACCACACCAATACTGCAGTACATACTACCTATATTTCATGCTTAAACCACAAATGCGATTTGTATTCCTGAATAAACTTTGAATAAGTTAAGGCATCACATAATATACCACCATCGCCGAATTACTGTACTCGTTGTATTTCTGAATAAAATTCGTGAATTTAAGACAGCTACTTTATAGTACTTGCATCATATACCTAATCCTGTACTCGTACTTTTGTTATAAATATTCTGACCCTGGCACTATTACTGCGTTAGGTCGTCTGGGGTGTGACAGACCCGCACACACCCCCCAGCACTCTGGACTGTGACGCGACAGTGGCCAGGACCGGTTTTGCAGGTTTTTATTCAGCATCCCATCGTTTGCCCGTCCTTCAACTTGCATCATAACTGCATGAGCCAGTTAGATGTGCCCTTGTTTCTTCCTCTTGGTGGACGTTTAACGTACGAACGTTTAAGAATCCGAAGGTAAGAATCCTAAATGAATGGTGGTGTTGAGTACAGACAGTCCACATGAGTGAACAGTGTGTAGTACGCTTCAGTGAATGATGATCTGTTGTACAACTGAATGAATAGTGCGTATTTCACTTCAGTGCGTGACACACTTGAATAACCGGTGCGTAATACGCCTCAGTGAACAACGTGTAGCGAGTGTGAATGAAGAGTATAAAGTGGGGTTGAATGATCAATGCACAGGCAGTTAAATAAAAAAAATGTCTGGTACAATATTGATAAAGACGTGTGTGTGTGTGTGTGTGTGTGTTATATTTATAGAACTATGATGAAATGTTTCTTAAATGTTAATAATCTAAACATAGAAAGAGATGTTTTCACTGTCAATCATCACCGAACACTTCACATGTGTCCTGAGCTGACATGAGTCCCCACTTACTGTATGTGTGGGTTTTCATCAGTGTCTTAAGAAATAACAATAAACAAGTAATATCTTAAGACTTCGTGCAATATATGTGATTAAATGATCCTATGTAATTAATAAATTTTCGGATTTAAATATTCATTCATTATCAGTTTTATACACCATAATGACTCAGTACTATTTGTTTCACCATCACACAAACACCGCTGACGTAACACCTTACTGTCTCGTCCAACACTCATCTTCTTTCAAAGAAAATTTGGATTTCCCGACACCTCCCACCGTATGGCCTCACAATCACATTTCACATCACCACACCCTTGCACACTTTAGTATTTAATTTAACACGTATTTATCGACTTCAATTCGAAAACAAAAAAACGTACGTGATATAGCACACTACTCCCGGATCAGTGTGGACGATTATGTCGCCGTTAAATGTATTAATATTCAAGTACAAATACTGGACAGCTTTGCCGTCATTGTACTTCAGGTGGCGCGGCGGGGACAATCAGTATTTGCTCTCATTATTAGCTAGATTTTGTTGTGGCGCGGGAGATAATCATATTTTGTTTTTTATTATGCAGTTATAACTTCTTCCACTGGTTAAGGTCGGCGGGGAACTTGTCCAGTTTTACAGCCAACCGTATTTGTATTTGACCTAAATAGGGTGGCGGGACGACACACACACGTGCATTCTTTTTAACTTCTGATTCACGATATTGAATTAGTTCCTGGAGGTATGTAATTAAGGTATGAACAATACCTTACTAAGTATAAAATCGCCTCACAAAGGTACGATACAGTGAATGCCAAAAAAAAAAAGGAATGTCACACATACTTAAATCATTAAAACATCATTATCCTCCGTAATGCTCGGGAAATTTTTTCGAAACTTCTCGTTTTTGTTTCCTATACTTAGCCATAGGAGGTGATCTTATCCTAAATTCGACTGAGCAAAACCTATTAATCTCACACTCATCTCCAACGCAAAACCAGGTTACCGTAATGTCTCTCACGAACTCTGTGCGAGACGTTACGTTATATCCTGTCCTTGGCTCCACCGGGTGTATTTCCGGCCGTTTGAACCAAAAATCTGTGAGTGAGGGTTTTTCTACATTACCGACGTAGAACAGTACTTTTGAAATACTTCCCCTCTGGCCTGGAAGAAATGTTTTTGTTTTTTCTCAAGGCGTCGTCAGTCAGGGCGTTTTTGTTTAACTTTACAAAGTGAAGGGTCATTGTACTTGGTCCTCTATGTATCACCTTAGTCTACAATATAGCAAGCCTTTTGTTACAACAGAAGGATCCTAATTAAAATCCTTCTTTACTCCATGTTAACGTTTCGATGATTGTTGTCACAGGATATTGGTTCTCTTTTGTGTAAGAACAGATCCTAATACACTAAACCCGTATTGGGGCGTGGCTGTTGTGACGTCACCTTTGAATTCTAAATGATGAGTGGTGGGATTTTTATTAATCTCGCTGGCAAAATTTTATGGGGGCGGAATTAGTAGCCTAGCCTATACTGTACAGCCGAAGGGACGTACACATTCAAATCAAAACAACTCATTACATACGTGGCAGTGAGGGTATAAAAATAAATGAATAGAATAGAGTGAAAACGGAAGCTCGACAGTCCTACTTACAATTTCCGATCTCACCTGGTGGTAATGTAGACCACCCTGGCCTATTTCCAGGTTCTTTTGTCGTGTCTCAGTGCAAGGATGTGTGAGTGATTTCCGGCACTCCAGGACACTGCGGCGGGCCTATCCTCATACATGAACACTAAATACGGGTTACAATAGTCTCGCCGCTGTTTTGACGTCATTTTGAAACCATTTTTGGGTGGGTGTTTCAGTGATCGAGTAAGATTGGATCACATATGGCATCGACGTCACCTTGTACTATATATGTTGTAGGGAATCTAAGTTGGTGTATATGTGAAGTTAGGTTAGGTTAGGCTGCTTTTTTTTTCAATTCAATAAGAACACTGAAAAAAACCCGTCTTTAACTGTGTGAATATTGCTTTATCCTGCACATTGTCAGGTCCAGCCTCTGTTACCAGCGAACTAACACTGAACATCAAAATTCATAAAGTAACAAAGAACATACCTCCACATGAACGACTAGTAAGCTAATAAATTATGAAATGACAAATTAAACAAAATGGAAAAAAAATCACGAATAACACACATTTGTCTCTTCAATCATAACTCTTGCGAATATATTTTTTACTTACTTTATCCTCTTCGCCATCAGTAACCTTTCACGGTATTAACATATATAACGCCTTAACACATAATAACTCGTCAATATTAGTATTCTCCTACATGCTCACGAAGGAGGGAGGATTTACCTTTGCGAAACCTCTTGTACGGGCGTCCACTTCGGGCCATGGCGTATTAATGTTTGTTGGGAGTGATTTGAGGCGGTGTGTGGTGTGTGTGTCCTAGTTAGCTAACTTAGCTGTACAGTGCGTGTTTCCCAGAC